AGGTGGTGGCACTTTTGATGTATCCATTCTTGCCATTGACGAGGGCTCATTATTCGAAGTCAAATCGACAGCTGGCGACACGCATTTAGGTGGCGAAGACTTTGATAATCGTTTGGTTAATTTCTTTGTTGATGAATTTAAGCGTAAACATAAACGTGACATGGGTAAAAATATCAGAGCTTTGAGACGACTACGTACTGCTTGCGAAAGAGCCAAACGTACTCTATCATCGAGTAGTGAAGCGTCCGTAGAGATTGACGCCTTGCATGAAGGTATTGATTTTTATTCGAAAATCACAAGGGCTCGTTTTGAGGAACTTAACATGGACTTGTTCCGTTCAACATTAGCGCCTGTAGAAAGAGCTTTAGCCGATGCTAAAATGGATAAATCTTCCATAAATGATGTAGTCTTAGTTGGCGGTTCGACTCGTATACCAAAAATTCAGAAAATGTTACAAGATTTTTTCGGTGGCAAAAAATTAAATTTGTCAATTAATCCAGACGAGGCCGTTGCCTATGGTGCTGCCGTACAGGCGGCTATTTTAACTGGAGTAGGTAGCTCTCAAATACAGGATGTATTGCTGGTCGATGTTACGCCGCTATCGCTTGGCATTGAAACTGCCGGTGGCGTTATGACCAAGTTAGTTGAACGCAATGCTCGTATTCCATGCAAGCAACAGCAAACATTTACTACATATAGCGACAATCAAAATGCGGTCACTATTCAGGTATACGAAGGTGAACGTGCCATGACCAAGGATAACAACTTACTGGGCACTTTCAATTTATCGGGCATCCCGCCAGCTCCCCGCGGCATACCGAAAATTGATGTGGCATTTGATTTAAATGCTGACGGTATACTTCACGTCTCGGCCAAAGATAACAGTACTGGCAAGTCGGAAAAAATCACAATTACCAACGATAAAGGACGTCTATCCAAAGAAGAAATTGATCGCATGTTGGCCGAGGCTGAACGCTATAAGGATGAAGACGAGAAACAAAGACAACGTATTCAGTCACGCAACGCACTGGAGTCTTACATTTTCAACTGCAAACAAGTGAGTTAAATTAGATTTCTGATGTGCTATTAGGATTTAGGATTAGGATTAATCTCATAAGCAAGAAGCAGTAGAGAGTCATCATAAACGTGTTGGTACATGAAGATACGAGACTAGAGTAACAGGAAATTATTTCTGAGTAGAGTATTCATATAACATTTTGAGTACGTTTCACGAAGTTATCCATGTACTCTCGCCATTATTATTTCCTTTAACTAATGTTAATTCAAAATACAAAATCAGTTCAACTTCATCTGTTAATGTGCGGGTTTTCTTCTTTTTGCACAAATTTATAACTTAAGAACAAAAAGAATTGAGATAATTAACAGCTGTTAAGTGGACATAATCCGTCCGTACTTTTTCTATTATAGTACGGCACGCTTTCTTCCTGTTGGAGAAAGTCTTCCAATCTGATTAAATGTTTGTAATGATCGCAAGTGTTTGAGTTGAAACTGCATTAATCATAAAACTAATTGGTTTACGTTGATCAAGGAGATAAAACCTCCGAGCATCCGCTTTCTCTTTACATACTTTGTTATTTCTAGAGCGAATGCAGATTAAAAAATAGTTCTGTTCTTGTGATTGGTATTAGAAAGCTTGGAATGCAGAAAACTATATTTTTTTTTTCTTGATTCGCATAAAGCCGGTGCATGGTATATATACAATACGGTCTTTACAGGCGATCGAGGATGTTGCGCAAGGCAAACTGAAAGAAACGGACAAAGCCACAGTTAATGAGAAATGTTCCGCCGAAATGAAATGGTTGGACAATAATACGTTGGCGGAAAAGGAGGAATTCGACGACCATTTAAAAGAATGCCAACGCGTTTGTTCCCCAATTATGGCCAAGCTGCATAAGGGTGGTGATGGTGATGAGAGATCTGGTTGCGGTCCTACCGTTGAAGAAGTTGATTAAAACTGTAAATGACCTTGATCATCTATTCATTTTTATGAAATTCTTATTTTTCTTTTTTAAATATATACATTTTTTGGAAATATGTTCAGAAATAAATTGAAAATTAAAAAAAAAAAAAAAACAATTCGAATAATTATCGTCGGGCAAGGGTCGACCACTCGCATAGTTCAATTACTCGCTCTCTTTGGTAATAGTGCACACAAAAATTACACATTATTTTCATAAGCCGCAATTTTTATGAAAGCCCGCATATAGGTCCAAAGTATCACGTGAACCAAACTTAATTTACATCCTAAAAATTTTATTTTTCAATTCCCGTCATAGAAATAGATATAAGCGCTTGCTTTTCATGATAACCCCTATGAATGCTAGGGCCTAAAGAACAGACCTATGTGATCCGAATTGTTTCTTGTTAATTTTTTTTTTTTTTTGCTAAGTTGCTGCTATGAACCGAGTAACATCATAAAATATTAAAAGTTAAATTTTACGCTGCATCAAGGTATCCAAAAAATAGATTCATGCGATTCAAATTTGACCTAATTATTTTTTATGTCGAATTACTATCATGAACAAATTTTCATCATAAAGCAGCGAAATGCCAGCGAAGTTTGTCGAAAAATTTTGCAAATTGCAACATTTTCTCATTTTTCCAATTCCCAATAGGGTTTGTCCATGGGGCAAATCACGTCAATGGACAAAATTTCACAAAATCACAATACATATCAGAAATTGGGAACTGTAGGTTGAACACAAAATTAAATGGAGAATGATCAGACGGACAAATGGACAGACGGATAGAGAAAATGATTCTGAAACAATAGGTGTAATAAAAGGTGAGTCCAGGGAAAGGTGGGAAGTCCGCGCAATCTTAATGCACCTTGTTCCGCAAGTGGTGTACGACAATTAAAAAATTAATAAATTATCGTCTGGCATGAACGACTAGTACTCTGTAACTCTTCGCCTCTAACACAATTTTTCATCCATTTTTTTCGCAACTGTTCCAAATGCTGCCTCGTTCTCATCTAAGACCCTAGTCTTTTATGGCAGATTAAGGCAATTCAAAAACGTAAACCGATATGGTTCAAAGAAGTGAAATTAATTATTTTGTAAGCAACTTATATTGACAGCGATCGTTCGAATAATAATTAATGTCGTAATAGGAAAAAATTTAGGTGACGAAGGGGTCTGGAAACATTGTTGCACCCCACTCTGCAACTTTCAAGTGTTACATGCAATAGCATTCGGGGAAACTTCTGCTCTTTAGCCAGATCATTACAGTTAATCTCTAGTTATTCATCTTTATAACTGTCAGATCGAATTTTAAAACTAAGATTAACGCTTCTTAACCCTGTAAGTGCCTAATAAGATTTCTATCATGATAAGTTTTAGATTTCGGATTTGTTAAACATACATATATCGGATGTTAAAAGCATTACATACAAATCTGAATATGTTTCTAACACGAAACGCACCTGAGGCCTTTAATTCAAATGCAACTTTCAAATGGCATTAATTACATATCATTTATGGTTACAAATGAAACAATTTTGAACCTTAAGTACACAACAAATACAAGAAATTACGTAAACATATAAAAAGTGTATTAATCACTTGCATTTCTAGTACCTAGTGATGGTGAAAAAAGTGGTCGAACTAGTTTGTATTAAAATATTTATACATTTAGTTTTACATGTTGTGCTTTCTGTCGATTCAAGTCCCCTTTCGAGCGTTGACTTTTAAAATAATAAGTCACTTTGTATTACGAAAACATTTTGTGTAATATTGCAGTTGAATTAACATCGTATTCCGCTTCGGAAGGAGTGGAAGCCCTACGGCGCAATGGCAAATTTTAGTAAATTTTTTAATGAACATTTATCAACACTTAATTGTCGAGATTTTCATGAAGGTATCTCATGCAAGAGGCATATAATAAATAGTTGCCTTTATTGTCCTTTGTCAGTAATGAAAATGTTCACACCGATCTATCTGGTAAGTCGATTGAAAAGCGAGTGAAAAGTAATTGAAAAAATAATACTTTTTAATATTTTTTTTTTTTTTTTATGTTAAACCACAGTTAGCGATTATAAGGAAAAACCGTAATTTGACAAAAGAAGACTTGAAAGAAATTCTGTTAAACTACAGGAGTTGTATAATGAGCGCTTCAATAACAGGCATTACCTGTAATTACGTTTCATGTTTGCATCGGTAAGTTAAATGGAAGAAAATGTTCATATTCATCTTTGGCGACAGCTGATGAACGTTAACAACTTAGATAAGGTTTTTTTGCTACATTTTTATTTTACATCATCCGCTTTATGTCGAATGCAATACGATTGAAACGGAATATCTTTGTAAAATATTGGCTGGGTGCGCGGCTGTTCTTTTTATATTTTTAAAATAAAAAAAAATTATGGAAAACAAAGGTGTTTACAGCCGCTTTATAGGCGTGTTGGGCGCAGTGTGCGCATCCTTTGACCGATTTGGGTCATTCTCAAATTCTTTTGCAAATTTGTAGACGATATCTTCATTTTTGTGAAAGAGAGAATGTTGGTCAAAGATGGACAGATGGACAGACGGACATGCTTAAATGCATTCCAAATTTGAAATTGGCCAATAATTTATATAAATTGTGGGATTTTTGGAGGTTCATCCTCCGCGTTACAAAGATTGTCAATTTTGGCCATTTTTGTGAAGGTACCTCCATAGGATATAAGTTCAAATTTTTGTAAATCTATTTGCTGTAGTTTATGACCAATTAGCAAAAAACCGATTGTTTATTCCTTTCGAAACACATAGGTGTTGTCAGTTTACGTGGTACTGTAGGCGCGTCCTTTGACCGATTTGGCTCATTTTCGATACTAACCTGTTTGCGAGAACTTCCTATTTTTCTCGCAAATTTGAGCTTGACAATATTGGACATTACACGATGCACAGATCGATATGCTTAGATCGATTCAGAATTTTACGCTGGCTAAGGATATGAGTACCCTGTGGGGTTTCTAAAGTGTCCTTCTTGGAGCTACAAACGTTTTGACGAAGTGAATGTACCGTACTCCCTTTCCCTCGCTAACAGATTTAAGTTTTTTATTGCTCAATAATTTCAAAAAAAGTATACGATTTGTCTAAACGTCTGGTGTTTTAAGTGCATAGAGCAGATGTTCACCTCATTCACTAAAAACCGTCGCAAATGTATATGAGATTGTCACTTCTTGTGACAATCTGACTTCAGATACACTTTACTAAGGCATGTTTAAACATATTCAACAATTTTGTCAAGCTTTGAAACGGTGAAATGTATGAGGACTGGTATGGAATTATAACTGTCTATAATCGAGTCAATGTGGATCGTAAATCTTGGGCTACGATGGATGATGTCCCTGGCAGGAGATCTTGGTAGTGAAATGGTTAAAATGTGTGGAAAAAACCACAACAAAAGACAACAGCTTTGCTACATTGCTACAAGACATGATATTTTTTTTTCTGAATTATGCTAATGATTGCCGCCAATTTCATATAATATTTGTAGAGACATTCAAACATTTACATTTATTGATTAACTCACTTTTTTATTTGTATTTTTTCATATAGGCTTTTCCTCCGAAAACACTCTATGTATACACTCATCTTTATACCTGCTTGGTACTCCGCTCATTTTATGTTCCTGTCCACGAAGGCTGTTCTTGAATTGTCCACTACTGCTGTTTATCAACACGTATGTTAATTTGGGTAGTAATGATATTTCATTCTGTTATCATCTATATAGCACGAAACACATAGATCACTTCTTCTATCCCGCAGAAAAATTAACTACATTGCGGTTTATATTGGGAACGATTTCATTTATTGCATCAAAGGCGACTCTATTAAATACCTTACATCACTTCATAATACATTCTTCATAACGATAAAAGCATTTGTGTATTTCACGAAGGTCCTTGTATTCCAAGATGTGCAAAAGGCAAGTTGACGTGATTCAAATATAGCAAAATTAATTGTATTGTCAAAAATCCTACTATTGCAATAATGTTGTATGACTTTTTTATAAAATTTTTCCGTTTCTGAAAATAGGAAGGATTTGAAATTCATTTTATTTCATTTCATATGTTTACATCCTACACTACTTGTCTATGTGAGGATATTTATAATATTGATGGGCAGAAAGGGGGGAGGGCGGGCGGAGAAGATATATCCACCTTTGATTATACTTATAAATGTAGAATCATTTTCTGAATCGATCTAAGCTTGTCTGTCCGTCTGTCTGTCTGTTGTTTGCCGATATGTTTTTGTGTTCAGCCTACCAGGTTGCAATTTTTCGAAAGTTATTGAAAATAGCTCGGATCTGTTCACTTTTTCGACCATTCACTATAAAACGTCTTATTTCATAAGAAGAAATGCAAGAATTTATAGAAAATTCCAATAAAAATCGCTTAGTAATCGTGCCAAAACTATGGATCCGATAGAGTAATTTTTTGAACTCCTTTGCCATGTAACTGTTACTATGGAAACTTAATCTTCCTATGGTAAAAGGGACTAATTTTGAATATTTCTTGATCAAAAGTCGTTCATGGCAATAATTTGACATAAAAATTAATCGTACCGATTTTGGACCACGTATATCTATTTTATGAATACCAAACCATAAAAGGTCCTTAGTAAATCAACCGTGGTAAACTCGGATCACATAAATCTATAGTTTAGACCCCACAATATACAATATGTAGGGATCCTCATGAGGGGTAATCCTTTTATGGCGACAAAGTCAAATTTGTGGTTTGTTTTGACGGAAGTTAGTGGAAGATAATAAAGACAAGTGAATTGAGTTTGCTCAAATTAGACCACGTTGACGTTTGAGTATCCGTCAACGAAAATTATATATTCACATATATTAAAGATAATGTATAATTTTTGGTGTATTGTTAATAAAATGGGGAAGCGAATGTGCTAGGCAAAGTGACGAATGGTCGGGACTTTTTGGTTAACTTCATGTGAGAAGGAAATGTCAATAATCAAAATATATATTTAATTCAACATTAATTTCCTGGTTGTGGTTGGCGAGTTCCTAGCTAAAATGGAACAATTGAGTGCAGCTAGGCCTCGCCAATAAACTGTTCTGGACTCTGGTGCTGTTTAGGCCCCTACTCTGTGGGGATTGTCTAACTCGCCAGGGGGCGTAGTACGCTTAAAAGTGGTTTGGGCCACCGTGGGGTTAAGCCTTTCAGGCAGGAACCCACGTTAAACCCTTGCCACAAATTCTGTATTGTGCACGCATAAAACCTCTTTATTGTCTATTTATTCATTTAGTTCTTGGACACATTACTGAGACGTAATAATGTCGTAAGCAAAACAATATATGGATCTAAAGCTATTCAGACGGCGATATTTATGTTATGCAGCGCTCTAATTTTGCATGGCAAACGCGCGTTTAATATGAAAGGCTTTTGGCTGACTAAACCGAATCGTTCAACAATAAGTGAAAAATGTGAAGACTTCGAACATCGTTGCAACATGCATCCAAATTTAAGTTGTGGCAATTTTGTATTGGAAGGAGTGTGTAAAAATTTTCTGATGGGCTTAGTTATTGATTGCCTAAATGCTCTAAAACGGATATCAAAACGACCACTTTCAACTAAAACATGGACCAAGAAGAGGAATTTACGACTGTATTGGGGACCGTTGTTTTCTCTATACGTCGGTTTGTACAGGGTAAAAATCATTTCTTTTTTTTGTTTTTTAAATTTAAAAATGAAAACTTGACAATTCTGCGGTGAATTTTGGCAAATCTTCGTCTTAGACGGACTTTTAGAAATTACGCAAGCTTTCGTGTGCACAGATGAAATTTCACTTGTACGGTGCAGCAGATATTGATCTCAAAATATACAAAAATAGTTTCGGACGGCTTTCATTGTAGAAATTAGTACAAAACGTTGGTTTGTGACGGCGGTTATCAATAATCGAAACAAACGAAATCGCGTTTTATTACTTTTCCCGTACAAGGGATAATTTATTTTTGGCGACGAGGTTCCATGCTTTCGGTAGATCTTGCAAATATCTATTCTTGATGCACTATATACGATGATCAGGCGGAATATCCTTTATAATGCAATCGTCTCTATATACCGGGTAGCAGTTTCCTCTTTTTTTGGTTTTGAAGAGAAAGATAATCGTTCGCGCAATTGTTTCCATTCGCGAGAAACTCGTCTTACCGTTTCGTGGGAATTGAGAGTTTGCGAGGAAATAAATCCTTTTTTCGGAAGCGGAGAGATAAGCTTAGATTGATGCAGAAAATGATTCTGTGGGTCCGTGTACAGTGGCCAAATTGTCCGATAATATCCTATATCAAAAATTGTATAGGGTATAAATATCTTCCGCTAAGATATTGAAATACGTTTGAATAAATGAACAATGGACCACCTTTTGCGAAAATTGGAATTTGATACAATACGAAGGTCTTTCATTTCAGGAAATTGAAGAAATCGATTCAATTTACGATTTCTGGATTTTTATTTCTTAGTAAATATTAAATAAAGACGTTGGTTTTTTTATTTCTTTTCTCTCTATTACAGTTAACATATTGCCTGTTAAATCGCTTTCACGTAGCTTCTGATGAACTCAATCACATCTTAGCTGCCTGCTGCGCGGGTCTAAGTCATTTTTTCTATCCCGAAATGGCTCTGTTCAATCTTGCTGCAGTTCATGCTTTTCTAACGTTGTGGCGTATGTTCCAAATATACGGGGCAGGAACTGAAAATAAAATTTCAAAAGCGCTATTGAATTTCCCCTATACCTATGTTTTATATCCTTTGATCCAAGCGCACTGTATACATATATATATAACGCGACCGCAGCTTTGTGGTCCATTACAAGTTGCCGTGAATAATAGCTTTACAAATAATTAGTAAGTAACTTATTTACATTTATAATGTATACGGGGTAAGGGCGATTCGCTTCCATTTACTTCTATTGAGTTTGCAAATAGTTTCTCCTAAGTCGCAACTCAACTTCAATCCGTGATTGACATAAGTTTCGATAACAATTTGTCGAAACTGAGAGCAACTGATTATAAGGAAGCAAAGCTCGTCAAGACGAATCTTGTTTGAAAATCCATGTCGTTTTAATATTTATCATGTTGATCCGTGTTGGAATAAGAAGAAAACTTCTATTGTATTTTATTTTCACTTACGATATGATTAGTTCAAATTTCCTTTTACTTTTTAATTCTAGCTCTACAGCCATAATGAAGAAAGTTCAAGAAGCTATCAAACGTGGCAAAGGACTTCAATAGATTTCAATACTTTAATGGTAAATTCTTTTGTTTTTTAGATTATAAGAGAAAAATATTTAAAGAAAAAATGTAAACGGAAATAAATAGAAAATGAAATATGAATGATGCGATATCAGATAGGAAGCATAAATGCGTTGGATTGATTGATTAGCTAACAGCACTAGAAGAAAGAAACAAATGTTTACCGCAGTTAGGCGGGCGGACAGACGCACATATTTAGATGCATTCCGAGATTGAAAATGGCTAAGAATATTTATATTTTATTAGGTTTTTGAAGCTTTATGTCATTGCTCTCATAACATAATGAAAAGTCGGCCTTTTTCAACTTATGAAATCTTGCTTAATTTCCGTAGGAATGCTTGTTTGAGAGAGGATTCAAAAAATTGGGTCAGTTACTCGTTATTCCTTGAGTTTATGATCCTTTACGATATGATTTATTTATAAATTTATGTTTGTAATAATCATAACCCACATATGTTAGACATTAGAATCGCATCAAGCGAAACAACTAGCGGAGCATATTTAGAAAGGGAAAGAGAGTAATGTTTAACGAACTCTGACAATAACAAGTTAGTTACCTTGCAATAGTTCTATGTTTTTTTAATCAAATCGAATAAATGAATATAAAAAAGAATTTGTTTTGTTAATAATGCATTAAGTATGAAAGACAAAAAGTTCATGACATCAAAAATCTATTATAATATATTCGCAAATGAGCGCGATAACAAATTTCGACAAATGCACACCTATACGCTTCTAGGGAAGTAAATATGCAGAGACATTTCAGCAAGAGAAGGTAATTGAGGCATTTCTTCTAATTCCACTCGTAAGTATAAAAAAATATTGGTAGATATGAAAAGGGGTAAAGCTACCTTTCAAGTCGACTAATATTCGAATTTTAAATTTTAAGTTGTTGTCATTATTATGATGATTTGTTAGACTAGCGAAATAAATTCTTAGACTAAAAAAGGCACTGAGCACTTGCAATATACATTACCAGCTATATGATAGAATTTTGAGGATAGTAGTTTTAGTAAAGTGATATAATCTATTGATATTGCGTTCTATAGCTGGTCTCAGAATGTCCGTAGGATAAGTAGTTCGAAATGCAATTCTTCTAATAAAGGAATAGTTAAAGCAGTGACGAAGAATGTGCTTTATTGTGAGATTTTGTCCGCATCTGCAGATTGGGGAAGAAGACTTCTTTAAGATCCATTGGTGTGTTGCAATTGTACGGTGAAGGACAATTCATGAAAATATTTTGTTCTAGACATAATGCTGGAACTAATTAAGTGTTAGCAGACAATTAGTGAGGGTATCCTTCCATAATTTGGATGGATATCCTTCCATAATTTTCTCTTTAACTTTTCTTTCACAGCATCTTCGAAGGTCTAACTTTTCCATGATATTGTCCTACATTAGAGGTGCTGAAACAGAAGACTTCCCCATTCAGTCAGGTTACTCATTTTCCAAAAAACTGATATGGCTTGGTGCTTAAAACATTTTAATTTTATCGCCGTACGTTATTATGATTTTCCTTAACTTGTCGATGGTGCTTCAACTCGAAGTGGAAGGATTTCGAATAGCTTTTAATGTGGACAGACTCTCAGTGACCATGACACTCTTGATTTTGTCTTTATTAGTAAGATTCGTAGCGTGAAGAATAGCTCGGTTTTGAAAGTTGAAGCACTTTCGTGACTAAGTTTTAAGTTAACATTCGATGATAATGCGTAGTATGAAAGAATGAATTTACATGTTCGACTGATTCATATTCATATTCATATTTCATTCGAGACATTCACCATAATTTACATATTTCCGTCACTTATGGTCACAAAGCTTTTGCATGCTTAAGTACCCTCCCTTCTTTTTGTATATGCCTACAGAACCTTTTAATTTTTTTTCATTGTTCATTCATTCATTTTAGTTTCATCATATTCATTCAAGATTGATTCGGGCTTTGCGCAGTTCATTTATGAGTTTCATCGAACTTCATATTTCGACTTAGAGGAAGATAAGAGAAAAGATGGATAAAAGTATTCATAGAGACAGAATGATTGATAAGCATGATTGCTTTCATTCATTATACCACACTTGTTCTTAAGGACATTTGTAGGGCTTTCAAAGGCAATGACTGAATTAGCTTGCAATCATTTGAAGGGAATATTGAACATTGAATATTTAATATTTAATTTTGAATATGAAATTATTTGCAAAAACATGAAATCAAGTTTGAATATTATATTTCGATACTTAATGGAAGGCTATATAAGGGCAAATTTTAATAAGATTTTTAGCAAGCGCTTATCATCACTGCCGCATTGTCGGAAATTTCGCAAAGCATAATTGTAAAAAGTATAGTTACTAAGCAAGTAAATTTATTGTTTGTTTTCGCCATCTATACTACTGGCACGGAACCTGTAGATGGATTATATAAAGTACTTTGATCAAAAGTTATTACTAACTTAGCAGTTTTTCATCTGACGCTGACCACTTTTAATCCAACTTTAAATGGTAGACTCACAGCCGATTGGTGAGTAATCAATGATTTTAGTCTAGCTAAGCCGTTTATATCGTTAGCAATTTTTTGATTTGTGTAAAGTGAGTATTCCGGTCCCGGTAAATGCTTTTCCGTCTTGCTATGCTCCTAAGCAGAACAGAGACTTTTCGCTTACTGCCCGTGGATGAAAGAAGTCGAGTTGATCGAGTTTTCTTACGGTAAGATCACAAATCTTGCGAAAAGTGTGTACATTTGCTCAGTCTTATTGAGACGCTTTCCATTCACTTAAAAACTTTCCTTTTGGTAAGTTGTTTGGAAAAACAGTCTTGCGTCTAACTTGTTGAATAACAATAAGAAAAGGCAGCAAAGTTCTTTTAATCCTCCCTATAAGCTACTCTTAAATGGATAAAAAGTAACGAAATGAGGGCTTTCTTCATAGGACATCGTTTACAGTAGCATCATTCTTTCACTGACCCACCATCTCTCAAGCACCTTCACTGCTTGGAATAGGTAATATTGAAAACAGGTGACTAGCAATGAAGGGATGTCGCACAGCAACAAAGTACGGTTGAGCTGCAGGTTTTATTAAATTTCTTGCTAGTTTCACAGATCGCTGCTACTTTGCGTGCTAACAATGTCATGCAGTCAAAAAGGTATTCTGCGCTAAGAGAGATTTTGCCAAGAAAATCGTCATCTTTTTTGGTGCGAATAAAAGGTCATGTATTGCTTAAGTCACACTTCAATTTCTGATTGATCGCCATTTTCTACGTAAAAACATTCAAATCTTTGCACAAAATATACAATGGCCTGGACAGGAAAAAAGTCATAATTCTGTGTCATTGTTTCCTTTTTCAATAATTTGTTTATATGTAGGAATGCAGCCTATTGTGGTTATGTCTTTTCCTAAGTGGGCTGCCAGTAATGGATTTTCCTTTTCTAACATCTTCCAAATCATTTTTTCTAAATCTTATGTTATCGTTGACTGATTGATCTCGATTTCCATTCTAATTTTGGTTGAATCCCTTCCTTCTCCTAAAGTTTGCAAACATTGCGATAAGAAGTGATGAGCGTCTTTCCTGTGATGCTCATCGTTCAAATTTAAAAAATTTCCCGCAAGCTTTTATTATTTGGTAAAACAATTAAAGTCTCTAGCACATGCAAAAGTTATATACTTCAACACCCAACAGATGTTAGAACCGTAGAAAAATTGATAAATGATTCACTTGTAAAACATAAGCAAAGGTTGATAAGAATACTCTACAAGAATATGTCGTGAGTAGGAGAAGATTAATATCGAGCATTATATATATTCTGGTGTGCTTCGATTATTTAATAAAATTAAGAACAATTCAGCGAGAAAGATGACACGAAGCACGGATCATAAATATATTTTGGTTTCCATACAAAATATGCAAACGGATAGCTGTAATGCTTAGGCAGTGCTTAGTAATATATCCTTGTGTAAAGTACTACCACTGCTAGAGCAAAGCATTACCTCACTATGAATTAAAAAGAAACCGCTCATATCCACCTGAGGAAATCGCTTTTTTAACGTTAGCCACAATGGAATTTATATTTATGGACTAAAGCAACACTTGATAACCTCACGCATGCTAAGAAAACTTTGGGGTAAACGTAAGGATAATTCTGCACGAATCAAAACAATTGAGGATTCAATCAAATGTACGCGTACTTCAAGGTAAGCCATGGTTGAAGACGGCGATAATTGAAAGATTCGTATATGAATAACAAACAGTTCTTGGTGAGAAACATGGCGAATAGTGAGTACCAACTTATAAGTTGAATAAAGAATTTCTTTTATCTTTTGCCTTTATCTTCAGATCTTCGTTAAAATAACTTTGTGCATCCGCATGGTTTTTGTCCAGCGTATTAGTTGCTTTTATTATTTTAAAGGGTACTAAAGAAATAAGCATAAGTTCTCATAAGATAATTAATTAAATGTATTCGTATAGATATATATATATAAAGTTAGTTATCCCACAAATCCACAATGATGCCATCATCTTTTACTTAATAAATTACTAAATTAAAATCTCTCATTACTGTCTGTTATCTATAATCTATTTTTCGTCCAAAGCTTAGTTTTACTAGTTTTCTCTTTATTTACTCTTTTGTAAGAGTTCCTTAGTACAAGGTTCCTTCAAAAAGCAGACCACGCGCGTCCTTGTTCTTTTGAACATATTTCCTATATATGAAATTATTTATATGTACATCTGTGCCTTGAATTAATATAATTACTTGCAAGAGCCTTGTTGCGAATTCAAAGTGGATCCATGACGATCGTTAACTAAAACCGCTTTTAATTTGTAGTCCATTGGGAAAACGATTTGAAAAGTTTTTGACTCTTCACGTACTCACGCTGTCTGGGAACATACATGCTGTGCAAAAATTCTAAACTATAGCTCAAGTTCAAGAAGCAAGACATGACAAATGATTACATTTATCCTTTTCCGATAGACTTTTGTGTTCTATGAAGTATTTCAAAACGTTATTTGAACTTCATGACATTTCTGCGATAGAGTCTACTTTGGTTGCAATTATGGTGAGTGCTCACTCAATAAACCTGTAAAACTTACAGATCGTGCACACACCCACTGGGCTGGAGCGTTTTTAATATTTCTTGCTCTCCCTCATATCTTTCCAAGCACCACCTAATTGCACGAATTGGTCATGCAGTAAAAAACAAAAAAAGGAAGAAAATTGTGTTCGGTGGTGACCGAATTTTTTATTCCCGTCACCGTTATCCTAAAAAAGAAAAAAAAAAGTAAAAGAACTAAATATCCATGCTCTATAATATGAAGTGGGCGATACTGCACCGTCGGG